GCTAACTTGCTTTGATAGTGTTTCGTAAATCTGAGAAAGGATATTGACACTAGATAAGTGGGTCATAACATATGGGTCGAGAACCTAACAAGAGGTCACAAGATGTATTTAAAGGATGACCCTTGCAGAAAGTAACTATATTCCACTACATAAAACCAATCTTTTGGTTTTAATTGTGAAATACTGTACACTACTTACCTCTCCAGGCCTCACCCTTTGAATGAACTGCCCACAACCTATACTAATGCATGACTCACAAGGATATATCAAAAACACTGTGTTAGATGCATTATTTCTAACAGGAGAATGTGTTGTCAGAGGCGCGTTTGTGTTGTTTTTGTGTCAAGAGATCGTGGAAGTTACCTGAATCACCTTTCACTGTTGACAGCAGATCAGCTGACGTAACACAAGGCCAGATATTGTTTCCTCAACGGCAATCAAGTGTTTGTATTTTCACAGTGGGATCACACCTCTGAGCAACCCTGAGCATGACAATTGATTTTCATTTATTTATTTTTCAAAATGCAACAGACGTCACAACACAAATATTTGTCTGCTCTGCGAATAATTCCATTTTCTCCCGCTTTGATTCGGGTCTGTTTCCAAAAGACCTGTTTATGGAGAGGAAATGACAAGAAGTCGAGTTGACAGGCCTGGAGTGAGACAGTTAAATGCCCCTTGCTGCTCTGGATAATTAATAAATAAAGTACCAGGGGAGTCCTGTCATGGCTTCCTCTATGACAGGGGCTGTCTCCAGTGCGCTAAAGCATTAAATGACCAATTCCTGTCAGGCTAACTTCCACTGCACTCCCTTGGCACCATCTCTCTCTCATTCTCCCTCTCTCTCTCTCTCCCTCACGCACACACACTGTCTCTCTTTCTTCCAAAGAGAGCTACTTTGCTCTCTTTGCTCCGAGTTTTTCAGCGACTGATGGCTCTAGTTCATTTCTGCTGAATTAATTGGTCCCTGAATGAATTCTGTTGACAGGGCAATTCATCATGTGTTTGGCCTGACAGTGACTGGGGTGTTGGGAGTGTGGTGGTGGTGGTGGTGATGGGGGAGGCGAGGGGTGAGGGGAGCTGCAGGAGAAGCTGGGGTTCTAGGGGGGGGGAGGATGGGGGTTGATGATTCTGCCCTCTCTTCTACCCGCTCCTATTATTCCCTCTTCTGCTAACAGGAATATAGCCTGCATCAAATTCTGCTTTCCCTCCTCACTTCTCTCTGAATATTTCCCAGCTCCCCCCGGTTGCAAACAAACATGCCTGGCTGACAGATCCAGCTGATTAGGGAGCTCTTCTGTCTGCTTTGGAGGATATCCTCATTACTGGCCAGTCAGGTAGCAAGCCCCGTTTAGCCCAGGACCACCAGCGCCTGTTATTTGGGACCTGACACGTTCACTAAGAGAGGTGCATTGCATTAGGCTTTAATTGCATCATGTATCACACAATAGCCATTAGGGTAATTATTTACTGGTGAAGGGTAAATGAGGTTTGGCGCTGGGCTGAGCCAGCGAGGCAGCTATGCCTCGTTTTGGCAGAGGTGTTGCGCTCACCTATACGCTAACAAATCTAATCGCCGGTCATTTGCTTCATTTGGAAATATCATGTCATCCAAACCCCACTGTCACCCCCCCCCCCCCCCCCCCCCCCCTTTTTTTTCTCACACTCACTTTCAGTCAAGCGGCGCACTTATTAGGTCCAATCAATCAATGCTCACTCATTAGGAACCTCCCCTCAAGTATCCTCTGGATTGCCTCACACAGCAAGAGTCAAAAATTACCTCATAATTGCTGCTCAGGCATCATAACAAGCTAGGCTGCCCCAGTGACACGGCCATACAAACAGGTCTAACGCAGGAATTGATGGATACTGGAGAATCGTATTATATATTGCCATATCCAATTAGATACAGCACATAAAGCAGCAAATCCATTCCCTCTTTTCATAACGTCCAAACCACCACTCGGATATAAAGACGTGAAATGCAGTTTCATATTTTCTCCACCCCCTCCCCTCGTCTTGGTTGTGTCACTACAAATGATAACATCCTGAGGATTTATTGTACATTTGACACACCAGTAACCAAATTATAATTCAGTTGCTGCGGCATATTCATAGAACCACTGTACAAATCGCACAGAGAGTGTTCAGTCAGCATGTATTAGTGCGGAGCGGCTCGAAAGGTCAACAGTTGGATCTGACACTGTGGTTTGAAGTTATGCATGATGAGGTTCACCGTTAGACCTGAAAGAGGAGTGGTTTCCCGTTGCTGTCGGAGCTTTTATTTCAATACACATCCTACCACATGTGGAGCTCCAACATGTTTTGTTTTCTGTTTCTTTTTAAAAATTCATGATAAATATCATAAATAGTTCCATATGTAGATTTTTTTTATTTTTAGTTTTTTGTTGTGCAACTTTTGAGGCATAATTATTCAACTTCCCCATGAGCAATCTACAGAATGAGGTCCAGACATTAAGGTAATTACTGCTTATCCAATGAGGAGTAATGACATTAAGGTCACAGTTCGATATGGAGCAGAAAGTTGAAAAATCAAAGCTGCAGAGCGCTGCTTTTCCATGTATAAAATGTGCAGTAAATCAAGATTTCAGCACTTGTGCATTAACTTGATTGCTGAACGAGTTTTTCATCTGAATTAAAATGTCTTTATGCAATACTCTAAGTTTATTTACAGTGTGTGAGCTCACACTTGAATTCAGTCAATCTGAGACAACCAATGTCTTTTGTTTGGTGATTTCACTGTTGATTTTTCTAAAACTGAATGTTTGATGAGCGAAGACAGTGATATGTGCTGATTAGACCCAATCGGATCATCCCAACACTCTTATATTTATATAGTAAATAACATATATTTATATTCCAGAGGATGCTGTTGTCATCTGGTATGCTGCATTCAATTTGGGCTTGATTGACAGATACATCCAGGTTCACAGTTTATTGGTTTCAGAGGAGAGAGCCAGATATGCCAATTTAGACAGGAAAGTGACAAAAAAGTTTCCATCTAAATAAAATAATTCTGCTTCTGGGAATTCTCAGCTGGGGAGAGGAAAGAGTCAAGCTCCTTTTTTCCGCCCCTCCTCCTATAACAAGGGCTGTGAATGACATACATATACGACAGTTAGGGCCTGACAGAACATCCACTTTTGATGCTTCACAGGGGAGCTATGAAATAAACAACAGGCAGAGAAATTGAATTACAAAGCAAAAAGAGGGTCTCTCCTTGTGGACCCAGAGGCACCAGAGTGCACCAAAAAACAGCTTGGCGTAGGATGTTTTAGAGGAGCTTATTTTTTATTTTTACATTGTTGAAATTTGGAGGGAAATACGCGATAGAATGATGGAAACTTCATAATATTCTCATTCAATATCGTATCACTGCTATCCATGCAGGACCACAAAGTAAAACTCGCTTTTTTCCCCATTAAAACAAAATTGAAAATAGTGTTTGGACCAAGAAATGCATGTCTGAATTAAAAACCGAAAATCTCAGCAGCTGTATTATATATATTCCCATTCTGTCTGACATCATTTCATGCTGCTCTATCTCGTGCTGCCGCAGCCCAAATCCTTTGCAAATCGTACGCCGCTGATCAGGACAGTGTCCACTTGTTGTAAATCAATAATGATATAACTAAGTCATACAAGGCGGCAGCGGCGGAGGGATTACGGAGCGAAGAAAGAGTGAAATAAGCTCTAAGAGGGATTTATGCATAAATCTCTCCCTGCAACTTAGCACAAATTGAATTCAGGCACACTGCTAGAAAAATTAATTCAGCTTTACAACGCGGGGAGAGGTTAAACACTTTATGTGCTGCTCAGTGATCCGAATCATGGAGAAAACATTTAGAGGCATTCTCACTGTACTGTGCACCGTGTGATCTTTATACTCGAAAAATAAATACATTTATCTCAAAATAGTCTCATTAAGTTCCAGAATTCATTCGGCCATTGTTTATTTCAACTTTTATTTAGTTATTTTGAAGTTATGTCATCTCAAGCATCAAACGTGTATTTGACATTTGACATGGTAATACATTTTAACCCATTGTTTAGCATTTACAAGCTGTATATAAAAGCTCTGCACACTGTAGTGTAGAAGTAAGCACGAATAAGGATACATTTCAAGTGTTTGTCTACAATTATCTCTTCTGCAGAATGAAGGATCTTTCCTTGTGTATGGGATGGACATCAGTGAGACCATTCTGGGTGAGAGGTTCTTTTAAACTCGTTTATTGGAGGAAAAAAACATATCAAAATGTGCATTTTGAGTTATTGTGAGAAACATTTTGAGGCCTTGGAAAACAGCTAAAGCTCCAGATTTGAAAGATTGTTTGAATGGTAGAGATAGCATCCTGTCTATGCTCAATAGAAGATGGGACTTCCTCCTGTAGGATCTTTTTTGGACCTTTTTATAAAGATCACTATGAAGGTATTCTGTGTCATGTTTTCTTTTCATTTTGTTGTGTTTGTCTTTTTGTAATAGTACCTCACCCTGAAAACGTCTTATCGAGCAAATGTTGAACTGCAAAGTAATTTAAATTGTTAAATAAATTGAGTAAAAAGTACATTCTTTCCCTCACGAATATACTTGGTTATTTTCCACAATTGGTGCTAAAAAGCATCTATTAAGTGTTTATACACTCGGGGTTTGAATACAATATTTCACTTAACCTAACTTGCCATATTGATAGATGAATGACGCATTTAAAATGTTTGGACCAAATTAGATTTGATTCATTATTTCTCATCTGTTGATGATCACAATTTCCAAGCTGACGTCTTCAAGTTGCTATTTGGTCTCGCCAAAACCCAAAGATATTCAACTTCCAATCATAAGCAACAAATCCTCACACGTGAGAAGCTGAAACCAGCATGTTTTCCTTAATAATTAGAACTTGTGTAATTAATCAACTATCAGAAATGTTGTCAATCAGTTGTTTCAGTTCTACTCCAGATGGTCAGAAACGCCATGCAGCCCCTTTTGCGTAAAAGATTTCAGACACTTTTATTATTGTACAAGTGAGACCAGCATAATGAAAGTGATAATACCCATGAACATGAAAGACATTTTTTCTTACTGTATTTACAGAGAAGTGTCTTCACATCACACACAAAAAAATCCTTCTACGAAATGAACAATTTGTAAATAACATAACAATTAAATAAACTCCACCTACCTTTAGGTTTACAGCTGAATATGCATATGATGACCATCTCTGCACTGCATAGAATTTATACATATACTTTTCCTCATGAACAACGTGGGTTTTTCCTAATAATAATAATAATAATAATAATAATAATACTGCACTCATGATGCATATAGGCGGCCTGTAAATAAACATGAACAAGAACTAAGTCTTTGGCAAATGCAAATACATTCACTTGACAGATGAAGAAACCATCATTCCAGCTGGATTCAGAGAAACAACTTGGCCTGAAACATGTGATGGAGCTGACGTTCGGAGGCAAGGTGTTTAAGGCATTTAGCTGAAATCGTCGCCCCTGGTTTTTCGACATTATTGGAGTTGTCAGAATCCGATGCTTCGGGCATCAAACTAGACAAATGATACTGGTTTGACTTGGGATGGCTGTTATATCCTTGTCTGTGGTTGAATGCCAAAGACTTAATCAACTTAAATAAAAATGTAAGCTGTGGGAATATAGTAGTGCACGTCAAGGCAGTGACATGATGGGCCTTGGATTACAGGAGAAACTGTAAGTGCCTTTTCAGACTGAGACTCGATAAACTTGCAGTCGGTTTCATGAAATAAAGCAAATATGCATCATGATTTTTTTTTTTCTGCATAATAAACGCTCCAGTGTTGCAAACCTCCAACATAGTGCAAAATCAACAAAAAAGGTTTCGCCTGATGACTTCTTGTATCCTGACAAATAAGAAACCGTAAAACACGAGCCAAGCAGTCTGCAGTTTAGTCGTTACGAATTATAAAAATGAAATAAAAAAATCATTTTAAGAATATATTTACTAGTTTCTTGAAATCTTGCAAATAGCGGACCATGGTGATATATTGTCATGGCTCCCTCTATTTTTCAAACGGATGTTTCTTTATTTATTTCATTTTCATTTTTACATCTTGATTGTGTATCACAGAGAACATGTCCTAATCTTCTCATGGCATCAAAAGCGATCGATTTACTCATGCTGGATGTTTGGTCGTTGACTGTTCAGATGGATAAAAACAACGTTAGCCTGCCACAGCCTGCATGTGCCCGGCTGCTAATCTCCTCTGATCTCACTGCGCCGCCATCTGAATCGGAGTGGGAGACGAATGGAAACTGGTGGGGGGGGGAAGAAAGGCTGCTGCTACATTTGTAAGCTCCGGACAGCGTCCCTGCTGAGAGCCGTCAAGAAAAGGAATGTACAGTATTGATCCGTGATGGGATGAGACTGCGACACTGTCACAGGGGGAAAATAAATTCAGTTTTTGTTTGTAGTCTTTTTCTTTTTCATTTTTTAGCTGCAATTAGCAGTTTTCATTGTGTAGTGTGTGTGTGTAGTGTCTTTCAGTGTCTCTGATGATCTTCTTATTGTTTTTTGTTTTTTTTGTTTTTTTTGGGGGGGGGGGGGATTTTGAGTGTCCAAAAAAGCTGCGAGGAGAAAAGTCGTCTGGAGTCCGCTACCAAAAAAAACCGTTTCTCATTGTGTGAGCCGGGAACATGTTTATGCTCAGTGTCCAGTGGACCATGCCGCTCACACCGGGGCAATATGGAGGCTAAGGCCATGGTCCTGCAGGTTGATTTGGTTTCCATGGTAACTAGTGACGGTCATAGGCAGTGGCAGCAGTGGGGGGGGGCGGAGCCTCTCGATGCGGCACTATAATAATAAGGGGAACCTGAAAGTTAACAGAAGAACGAGCCATTTAAAACGACAACAAAATGACATTTTTCCAAATGTGCAATCACAATTAATTGTTAAGCTGTTTTACACGTTGCTCTTTTACTGTACATGTTAATAGTTAATTAACTGTTGCCAAGCCCCATCAGGGGCACATAATGCATTTTACAATGACAGAGGCACATGTATAACTTAAATTTAAAAAATGTTTACAATGAAGAGTCCTTGATTTCAAACGAGTGTAGACAAAAACAGGTTTCTCATTTCTAGCCAGCGTGGAAAAGTTAATAACACCTTTTTATCCGGTGTAGCTATCAAGTTAATTAAGCGTTAAGTCCACGACTTGGCTAATAACGTCATCTCTTCCTGATTTTAAATGTTTCCAGCTAACTGGTTTAAAGATGAGAAGAAGATTGAAACTAAAGCTGCATGTCCCAAATAAAAAGTCATCATTCTCACTTGTTGATGATCCGTGTAGAATACATGGAAATAAAGAAACGGTCTTGTTCTAGAGTTAGTTAGCCTAGTATTTTAAGTATGATGAATACAAATGTAAGGTCAGTCTGTTATTTTGTTCTAACACAAATCTGTTTGGTCGCTTAGCTTGCATACATTTTTGCAAAGAGCATGTTTTTAGTTTAGCCTCAACCCTGATTGCATTCAGGACCAGCTTTCATTCAGTAGGTCTGCTAATCATGACATGTAACCTCACGTAATAATGTATGTAGTTAGTGATGGGCTCCTGTATTTAAGAGTTATGGTAACGCCAAGTTCACGCTAAGGTAGTTGTTGCACGAGCAGCAGCCTATAGCTGTTCACACCAGATGCGCATTTTCCCGCTCCGGTCAACAAGCGATTCTGCTCCTCTGCTCTTTTTTTTTTTATAGAGTTAAACTCTGTTCGTCTGTCTGCTTGTCGAGCTCGCTCTGTGTTTAGACATGACTGGCAAGTGTGTGGACAAAAAGTAGTCTATGTAAATGAAAAACCACAATCACAAACAGTGACACTAGCCCATTACTATTAAGTATGTGTATACATTATCTGATTTTGAAATTTGATCATTTGGGGGGTAAAAATCAGGAGAAATAGTCAGCTAGTTTGCAGGGCACGATAATGATTGTGGCTCAGAATAGAGCAGATAAATACAGTTTAATCTATTCCCTATACTTTGTGTTATTTGGTTTTGGAGAGCCTAAAAAAACCACCCTCCAGACTCTTAAAAGGCGGAGAGTATCGCTCTTCCTATAGCCCCATGCACACCGTTTTGGCACATGGAGAAATCATAAAAATGGAATAAGAGTAGAATATACATTCCCATTCAAATCAACATAGGATGGTCAGAGTGGCGGCCATTTTTATGTGTACCTCTGCCATTACGGGCTTATGCATTCTATTTCTATGGTCAATGCACCGTGCTGAGCGCAGTATTAGTTTGAACTAGTCAAATGACCCCCCGCAAACCGTTCAAAATCCATTCTACTCTCATTCTATTTCTATGGTGGAAATCCAAAGAGGCTGTGCCTAGTTACACAATCGCTGTTTAGCAAAAACAGTCGATTAATCCACTTTCTCTCGCTTTACTCACTTAGTAATGCTGGGTTGCTGAATCGCCAGGCGTCATTGTAGGTCGTGTACTGTGGGTGACTGTATGGGTTCCCCGAAAACTCACTCCCTGCGATACAAAACAACAAATCAATTAGCATTTCAATGCATCAAACCATTACCCCGTTCATATGCAGTCATTTCTCGTCATTCAAAACAGGATGCAATTTGAGGGGGAAAATGATAGTCATCGATGTGCGACCAGTCAAGCAAGTAATTTATTTCTTTTTCATTTCACTTAAGTTATGCAACACTGAACAATACAGGATGCGACACTGAAGGCGGCTTTCCCTGTCCCATTTATGGATATCTACCCATTCTTCTTCCTCCACTATATTCCAAACCAGTCCAATAAATACAGAGTGGTAATAAACAGTTTCATGCATATATTTTTGATAGGCTGCAGGATTTATTGCAGCATTTCTTGGAGGATTTTTTTTAACATCTCCAATCTGAACCCCCCCCTCCAGTCTGAGCTCTGGTGTTTGGTGCGACAGAATTTCATTGCAGGGGAACTAACTTGGAGCATGTCAGTGAGCACTGCTGTTGGTTCAACATGTTTCTTTCTTTTACGAGACAATAAAGGCTAGATTTGATATGAAGCCGGTGAGAAATGGCTTTGCTTTAACAGTGTTTTGTGCCTGTCACTAAATCTTAGTGGTTGTGTATAGGATGAATGGGTTGTAACACAAAACCACAAGCCATGGGATGAAGACCCTCATCTTTTGCTTTGGGCCACATAACAACAAATGGAAAGTAAAAGTATGTTTGACTTTAACAGTTTTATTAGTCAAAATCCAAAAGTGAATTCCAACTGCACTGCCACAGGGTGCTACCACATCTCCCTCTGTTTTTTTTTTTTTTTTTTTTTTTTTTTTTTTTTTTTTTTTTTTTTTTACTGGAAGCTATTAAATGGACTCAACTGTTTACAGAAGCATTTCAAAGAATGTAAAGTCTCTATTTTTAAAATAGCCTTTCATAACAGAGGCAGAAAGCAAAACTAGAGAGCACTCAAAAAGCACAAGCCTATTGTGTGCCACAGTTTATTTACACTGACAGGCCAATCTAAACGAATAATGTAATTATATAAAATATCTAGAAAACATATCTGCATCAAAATACACCTAGGAACAAAGCATCATGGGATACATGTGGCAGATTTTTATTTTTTTTAAATGCTTTGAACACCAGAAACAAAATTCCATTCACCTTTGCATTGAAGTGGCAGGAAAACAAGCTATCATTAAATATATATAACCTGTCCTGGAAGATGCCACTGGAGGTACAAATAAATATGTTTCTTTGTAATTTTGGTTAACTGACACAAAGAAATCCTTGCTCCATGACCTAATTTTCAAGTTTCAATGATGTAAAATAAAGTTTTGTGAAGATTACCTGCTAACTAACAGACTAAAACAAATGGCACAGTTAATAAACCCTCCTGGCAGAGATGATAACCAAACTCATCACCGCAGCCCTTCATAAAAGAGAACAGAGGAACAGCCAGAGCCTGTGATGGGCTGTGTGATTGCTAAATGATATGCAAACACAGGACACACTCCACTGGTTTCCCCATCCATGTGGTTTAATCACATCAAAGCAAAATGCCGGCTGTGGTTTGGCTGAAATGTGTGTGGTGATGCTGGAGCTGAAAAAGGCATATAAGCTCAGCACCAAAACTGCATCCCTGGCAGTGAAACACAAGCCTAACCTCCTCAGAGAGAGAGAGAGCGTTTTAAATATTTACTGGGCTCCCATGCCTCTGCCTTTTGACCCTTAACTGTTTGCTGTGAACCTGAACTGCAGGTTAAGTAGAGGAGGGGGAAAGGGATATGCTCTGGAGCACAGAGGCTGGGGAGGGCCGGTAGTGCTGTTTATCGAGGGCCGGTGCGAACGGCCACGCGGGAAGATAATGAGCTAAAAAGGCTGAGAGGAAATCAGGAAGGAAGGGAGAACGACTGTCCTCTCCCCTGTCTCTGATCACTTATTCTTATCCAATCATACACACAGAGCTAATATGAGACTGTGTGTCTTGCTCTGCAGGTCAATATGTATCCCCGCTGCGTAACTTGGCACTAAACTCTCGTCACTCTCCTTTTTGAGGTCAGTGTAACCTGTTAAATAGACCCCTAACGACAATATGAAGTGCTGACGTGGTCTCTCACTTACCAGGAACCATTCCAGCGAGCGTTGAAGTTGGGTAGCTGCCCTGACCTGTGGGGGGAACGTGTGGGGGGTATCCAGGTAAAGTTGTGTTGGCCATATCCCGACCTGAAGAGACAAAAGGAAACACAACAAAACAACAAAACACTTCATCAGTGCTTTCTAGTTGTAACCTGTGACTAGCATTAAAAAAAGTGGAAGAAGTCTTCAGATCAGCGATATAATATTGTAAAAGTTCTGCATTCAGATTAGATTAAGTATCATCATGAAAATGTACAGGCACAATGATTCATCACTCCGATTTGCCCCTTTGAGAGTATTATTAGATGTATTAAATATACTGGGATATTATTACTGATACATTTAATGATGTCGCATGCAGAGATGGAACTAATTTTACCTACATATACACTGTTGGTTTGTTTAGTCCATACAAATTTGTTATATTTTACTGATTTTATATTTAAAATGCCTGTAGTCAAGTAAAAAGTACAATGTTTCCCTCTGAAATGTCATGGAGATGAAGAATAAGTACAACTCCCTCAAAACTGTACTTAAATACACTACTTGAGTAAATGTGCTTTGTCACTTTTAAGTGTTCAATTTCAAAATGGAAACCAGATACTGCAGTTACATGACACAGCGCTAACGTATGTTACTTTAGACATCATGACTCATCACCACCGCAAGTCAGTCGGCACAACAACTCCATTTTCCCTATTTAGTTTAGAGATACTTTCAAAGAGTGTAGTGTCATTTATTAAACCTGTTTAATAGCATCAGTCCGCCTCCCCAACAGTGGAGCTTAAAAACAAGACCGCAGCTGCTGTTTTGAGCCAACTGAATACTGGTCACATAAATATGTGTCCTCATTACACAGTTCTAACTTGTCTAAATATGGCAGCCCCTCTCTTCCTCTGTGAGTCCGAGCACAGTGGCCCCTCTGCGGAGCGTCACCCGTTCTGCTGCAGATATTCAGCTCCGTAATTGAGAGTGACGGTTGGGGTTGTCCTCACTGGCCACGGGGACATTTGGACAAAACGGCACGTAACCCCAATCTGCACTGGGGCCAGGGAAGGAGAGGCTCCTGTTATATTGTCAGCTGTGAGGGCCACTTGGACTCAAAGGGGGGGAAAAAAAACCCAATCATCTCCAAATGGAGCTTTGATGAGGAACTAGTATACGAGAGCACCACAAGAAAAATGTTCTCCATGTTGTTGCCTTTACAAATGTTTGACTATCTAAAGGAAAGCTTTTTATTATGATGATCCAAATTCATTTTGCATTTCTCTTGTTCTTTATGGAAAAGTGCGTCACTAAGTCATACAGTGTCACGATTGCTACTTTATTTTAGATAGTATTGGAAAATCATGGACATTGTGTATATTATTTTTTGTAACGTTTTTATGCTGTCTTATCGGCCAAGCATCCCTTGAAAATACAATTTAATTTTACCTCGTTAAATAAAAAAATGGAGATGTACATTTATGCATCTGGTAGAGAACCCCAAGTTGTTTGGTTTCGGACACTGCACCACAACTGAAAGGTTTTACTCAATGCAAAGAAAAATAATGCATGATACAGCAAAATAAATCTACAAAAATGATCCACAAATAAATTCCACGCTTCATACTGAGAGTAGAACTCTATTGCAACACTTGACCTCCCAAGTGCTGAACACATTTATCTGTCCGAATATCAAAAACTGACTCTTGCTGCCAATTAGCATTGCTAATGAGAGCATAAACCACAGGCAGATTTAGATATTGACTAGAAAATCCAATTCATACATGTGCAATATCATGAGCAACTTATTTGTTCAATTGAGGCTGAGCGAACGAGCCCTCTGGGTATTGAAGTACCTGCTACTACAGGCTGGCAGGCATACTGGCTACAGTGGGGGCTGAGGGGGGGTAGAGGAGTGAAACGGCTGGTGAAGAGACGGGGTTGAAGGCCTGGCGGTCCAACAGACTTAGGCCTTGCCGAGGAGGAGGAGGAGGAGGAGGAGGAGGAGGAGAGGGGCGGGGTGTAAGGAACCATCGAAGCCTTGTATGGCTAATCTTGGACGATAGAATTATCTAAAAATGTGTGCTAAAATACTCTCATTATTAGCAACATTACTTTTTCTTTTCAAGGACGTTGAACACTTCTAGCAGTTATCTTTAGACATTTCGTGGCAGAAAAACTGAACTTGTAATGATCAGTTTTTCATTGCTACGTCTACTTAAGTAAATAATCTTACTACTACTTCTACGTCTGGTAATGCTGCATTAGAAAATGCATCTTAATGAAAATACCATACTGTTGTCATAGGAGTTATTATTGTTCTGTGTGGAGCCGGCCCAAGTTTGTCAGTTTGTTGCTCAACCAAAGAGAGATTTATTCAAAGTCACTGTACAAAACAATATTACAGGAACTTGGGAAATCTATTTCAAAGTTGATTCTCACGTAAAACACAAACGATAAAGAAACGATTCAGTCTTACTGCTTTCAGCACTGATCGCTGTATTGTATGAGGCCTGCTGAGATGTGACTTTTGGTTAAAGCGGAGAGACTGGAGGGCTGCGGAGTTAAAGAGCTTTGCAGAGAAGAGTGAGGTCATGCCGGACTTTTCATTTATAATAAGAATTAGTTAGCCACAAGCCAGTGCACATAAGTCAAAGGGAGCCGTGGGAGTACTGTAGGTGGGGGGTCCAGCAGGGGTGAGGCCATTGTGTGTGCGTGTAGACATTGGTAGCTATTGTCTAACTGTCTCAGCAAACACTGACCCAATCTTTTCTTCATTATTATTGCAGCAGCTACAGCAGTCGTACAGGTTTTTAATGAAAATAAATACGGCTATCTCTTCATTACCTCGCGTCAAAGAGAAGAAATACATAATGAGAAACGGATCTCTGCCAAGTTTAATCTCTTTAAAAAATGGCTAAACTGCAATGGAAAGTTTCTGTTCTTGTTACTAGAGATTTCAATTGGTCTTTTTCCTCAACTTTTCCCATTTCAGATATTGATTCCGAGACTCCCATACAACCAAATTCCACAATATTGTTCTAGATTGGTTCATAAAATTGCTTTTTTACATTTTTGTAACATCAGTTAATGGCAAAGGAATTGTACTTAGTGTGGGTCGGTCCTTCTAGCCGATACCTGATCAATATTACGCCCTGATACCGATCCAGTGTATCTGATCAGGGCATCAATACTTTAACTTTACCCTCATTGGAGGCTTCAATTTTCATTCTAGCCTTAAAATGCAACAATAAAACACACCTTTTTGTTTCAATTTGAGAAGACAAGTGAACATCAGCTTGTATTTTGGTGAAAGCATGAGTTCATATTTGAATTTGCAAATATACAAAAGCAAAAGATTGGAGATGTGGAGAGTATGTTAAAGGTTTGTAAATCAGTGAATGTCAGTCTATTGCCATCAACTCCAGTCTTTTCCCATCACATGTTGACTCTGTTGATGATGATAATAATAATACTCATCACAGCCTCTGTTGAATCCTGTTTTTGTGTATTCCAGGATACAGTTGGCAGTGGCTGCCAGCAGCTCTGTGACTGTTGCTTTATGTCCCCTTTAAAGCCCTCTTTCTGAGAGGCGCCAGTTCGGAGAACTCTCTGTACAGCAATGATAGCCTCATTAGCTGCTTCCTAGCCTTTGTTGTTTTTACAACAGAGATGTGTGTGCAGATTCTCATTAAAAGACAGGTTTCTTTATATTGTCTGCTTCCTCTGACAGTCCCCTTAGATTGAATGCCAGCAAATCAAGCTATTTATTTTTCCTCTGCCCTCTTTTTCCTTCCCTGCAAAAATCAATTCAAAGATTTTTTTGGTTTGCTGTTACAAAATCTTGTTGATTTCTGTCTTAATTTGAGAAGTGGCTTGTAGCAGTCGCTGCTGAGCTGGGAATACGTAATATGAGTATTTCTTGCTTTTAGTGGGCGTTGAAATATCAGATGTTTACAGACAAGATTGTTTGAGTATTTTGAAGTTATTTGAAAAACGGAGAACAAATGACAGCATACTGACAGCACTACTGGTTATATCCTTAATTCAAACTACACAGAGTGACTGAAAGCATACAGTCAAACTATTTTGTCAATACTTGATACTGTGAGAAGACAAAGATTTGTAAGTTGTATCTCAACCCAAAACAACGTGACAAGAAACTATTATGTTTTTTTTTTTTTTTTTTGCATTAAAATTAATTCGGTGTCTTCAAATGGGAAAGCAAGATGACCTTCTCTTTATTTGGCACAGGAACAAAGTCATTTGAGAATGACTCTTTTTGCTTGCAAGAGTATTAAATTTAGCATGACAGGGACACCTTCATGTTTGCTACAACAACAACAACCAAAAATCTTTGACCTCCGTTTTTCTAGGCTATATGCAGAATGGGGCAATTTATCACAAGCCAAAAAATCTCAGCACCCTAATTAATTACAACTAAGTAAAGAATGTTTGGAGAGCCAAATTGCTTTAATTCCCCAAACACCGACTGAAAGTCGTTCATTATCAAATGTGTGCTCAAAGGTTAGTTTGCTTTTGTGAAGACGAAATAAGCATTAATTTCGGAGCTCGGGCCTGCGTTTCCCCCTGTGGGGAGACGGGCGAGCGCTTTGTCACGAGGCCACACATCACTTACGGCAGGTTTGCTGTCTGATCTTTGCTCGCTGCTCACTGGGCAACGGCAGGTCCTGATACTTTCTGTGTAGTTCACCCTGAGAGCACTCACTCACCCTAATTGAACGTAGAGTGTGGACGGTTATGTTTGCTGGAGGAAGTTTTGTTTAGAGAATTAAACAGGAGTGTGCAGAGGCAGCTGCTCGAGGAGGAGAAGTGTCATTGACACGGGAGCTTTGGAGCCTCCATTAACAGGCCCAGCAGGGAATATCTCTAAAGAGTCTTCAGTATGCAGTCACTGAGTGGAGATGTGTAAAACTCCCACTGAGTGCTCAAGGGAATCCGCCGAGCGCTCGAAGATGGCACTTTAGCCTAAAGCTCCATCAAGAAAACAGGTGGGCTCCGACTAATTTCAGGAAATACAGAAACTCTCTATAGAAATACTAGACAATTGGCCGTATCAACGCCATCTCTCCATTTATTTCTCAAAAATACACACAAAAAAGTTCAGAGCTCCTCCTTCTGCTATTCATAAATTCGCTCATGGCTCACACTATTTGAATTTTAAGCAGTTGGAATGAACAAGAATAAGAATCACTTGAGATTAAATCCATCTCTCGGAGGGAATTCATCAAAGAAATTACTTCCCATATCAACAATAGAAATTACCTCACAATATGCAATTGTCCTATCCACATATTCATGGAACCCTTTGGTGTTTTTATGGGGTAAGAGGGACTATTTAGCAGGTAATGCAGCATTAATGTGGAGGAGAGGGAGAGAGAGAAAAACTGTTTTAATGGAAGGGGCTTCTTGCCTCTCAATTTCGATGATGTGCACAATGCCCTTAAATCCCTTTCTTATTTGAACCTGCTTTGCAGGTACTTTTGAGCCTTAATAGGATAAGCAGAGGACACAAAAGATTTCCATCTCTCAAGTCTCTCACTTCACTGAGAATCCCGATCTCTGGCAATGAGCACTTCATGAATCATTCATTTTTAATAGATTATGCAAATTCCAGGACATAAAATCAACAAGATCAATAACTGCAGGCGTTTTAATTGGTGTTGGAAAACATTTTAAGGATGAACATAATCTCCAGTTCTTTCCCCCGTAAAGACACAATTAATTTCAAATTGGATCTGAGCCTAAATGCTGCAGATAATTTACTACTTTTAGCATGGCTTAAAATTCCTCTGGTAGGCTTATCGCTGGCAAGTAAACTGTAACACTCAGCCATTAGAGAGACCACACACCTGAATATCGCCTAATATGCACACAGGCAGCCACTGAGGGAAAACCAAGCAGAGGAGCCACTAACCAAATACTAATTACAAAGTGGAAGTCAGAGTGATGTTTGTTCCATTAGTTTGACCTCTGAGTGCTTTATTTCTCTGCCTCCAGTGAGATCTGCTGCCAGATAAAGGGAAGGAAATATTCTTATTTACTAACACAAAAGCAGGTAATGTGCTTTTTTCATATACAGACACACACACACACATACACTGCATACAATCCCATCTTTCTTCCCCTACATGTCTCTTTGCACCTGTAAAGCAGTAAGGAGACCCTCTCTGCAGAGACCATCTAAAATATCCCAGGTGCAAACAAAGCCGCCTGCATTCTACGGGGCCATCAGTGCACAAAGGACAAACACACACCTTTCTTCTCAGGAGGCCTGCCTTACAGGGGAAATCTACCTCCCACATATTAATGAGAAAAGGGCCCTTTCTTTTCTCATAAGACTGCTTGGCTATCACTTGAGAAAGGGGGGGGGCTGCAGCAATTTTCAATCACCCTGTCCTCCCCCACGCAGAACTCTCTGCCTTTGATGGCTGCTGCATAATTATATGAATTTTAATAAAAGCTCTGTGTATTAATCTCAGGCCCCCCGACAGTCCTCGTAAACTTTCAGTAAACTTAACCTTCTTCTTGGTAATAACACGGCAACAACGAAACAATATTTCAATTAGCCAGGCAGTCATTAACTGTGACAAGGAGAGGAGACGATGAGGGGGGAGAGAGAGAGAGAGATAGGAGGGTGAAATAAATGATCATGGTGTTAGAGTTAGGCGGCAGAAATGCCAGAGCCTATTTACCGAGGCACATTACTCGTGCTTTGAGACACACAAACTGTCTCCTGGCGAACAAATCACAGGAGCAACACAGCAGCAGCCAACAAGCAGTCAGTCCTGCATGGTGGCCTTTTTTTTTTTTTTTTTTTTTTTTTTTTTTTTTTTTTTAAGCGAGACCTTGCCCTGATACACAGTCATAGTTCTGATGTGCTGACACCCAAAGGTCCTTGTCCAGCGGTGACTGAACAGCCCCCCCCCCCACACGCTCCGCCCTCACCCACAATCTCTCTTATCACCCTGCTTGCTCAGCAAAGACCCAGACGGAGGACAGCTGCTAAGCTTTTATCGCATCGCTGTACCACCTTTTCAGCTCTGAGTGAAATGGTATTAAAAAAGTCTTCACACTTAACTTTTTGGTTGGCTTTTATTTTCACACATTTCATTTTTTTCTTTTTCTGTCAATTGCACAAGCATTCTTAGTTGTTTTTACTTGTTCTTTTACATTGTTCAAACCCCCTCAGCTGAAGCTGTGGCTCGGCAGCATAAAGGCATACTGTATGATCTTACCTACGGGGTAGCTTTGCGACACGCTGGGGCCCAGGTCTGGGTTGACGCTAGAGGATAAACTGGGCTTGACTTCGTCCAGGCTGGAATTCAGGGCAGGGAGCGAGTACTCATTAGCCTGGGAAAAGGACAGTTGAATCATTACACAACCAAACAATACCAAGATGGAAATCCTCCCTCTCCTCCTCCATTAAGCGCTCCACACAGGCCTGTGCGAGTATAAATTTGTATGAGAGCATTGTTTGTGTGTGTGTGTGTGTGTGTGTGTTCAAGCTGCAGGGTGGCAGTTCAAGCATATCATGAATGTATTTTGGTATTGTCTGAGAGGAAGTGGGATTTTGAGATGAGTGAAAAGCCAAGGCGTCAGCTGGCCCTTTGTGCTTGACTGCAGTCCTACTCCTGATCAGCCAAGGGAGAAAGCAGTTCTGCTTTGTTACAGGCTCACCATGTGGCCCTGCTTGAGAGACACCATTCACCTTTCTTTTTTTTTTTTTGCTTTTTGCTTTTTATTTGGAGTCTAAACAACCTTTAAATTTCATTACCTCTTATCTCTGAATGGAATCACTTGTACTACTTGCCCTTTTTGTTGCATTTAGCTGTTAGAGATTTTTCTCCTTGTGTGCGTTCAGCTGTTATATTAAAGGACTACTTCACCCAAATCACTCCAACAAAACAAGATTTTTAACGCTTGCAGTATCTAGCGATGCAAATGATTTCATGTGCTCAGGTTTTGAGATGTCCTTCTCTGAAACATCAATCTCAACCCCTCCTTAAGGTTGGTGAGTGAGATAAGTGTGTTTGTGCTGTGAATAATTGACAACTTTTTATCATATGAAAATGTTCTATACTAGTGCCAATATGATACCCAAATCACACAATTACCAATGCCTAAACAGTACTTAAAAATGTTTGAAAGCTTCTTTGCATTTAACAATTGAAGTTAAACATCTCAAATGCGTGATTTTCTAAACACAGCTGAAACCCTAAATAGTCGGAAATCCGCAAAATTAGGATTTAAATCAGAAGGTATCTGATTGACAAATAAGTAAACAGAACTATGATTCAGACCAGGCATTTGATGCCGGCTTTCAGGAGTTTAGATTTTGGATATCGATGGCCAGTTTGTGCCAAAAAGTCTTTCCAGAATCAATGTCCTATAGTTCCTCTGGTTAATCAACAAAAATCTGTTTTAATACAGAAAAAAAACATTATGAATAAAAGAAATTGATTTTTTTTTTTTTGTAATTTGGGTGAACTGACAATTTTAATAAAAAAACAAATGTACATATTTTACTCAGTCTAAAAATAATCTCTTCCCAGCTTGTCTCTTATGTCATGTTTCATTTAGTTTTTAAATCCACTAAAAGACACTCATGGCAGATGTTGTTTTTTTTTAATGAGATGAGACTTCCGGAGTCTGAGTGTTGACGATGTTTGTCCAAAGCCCAGTGTGAGCCTGAGTGGCTCAGTGGGCCGCGCTCCCACAGGGGGACGCCCGTGACCCCGCTCTTGTCTGCCACTATCACCGATAAACTCTAATTGTCTGCTACAACTGTTCACTGGCACAATGTCGGATGTTTTCCTCTATTCTCGGAGGCTTCAGACGCCAAACAGACGTTTTATCATGCAGATAAAGGGCAGAAGGGGGAAAACTGAAAAGATGGGTCTGAAAGGAATGACCAAATGGCTAGCAGAAGTGTGGGAGGGGTGAATCCATTGAGTTTTGCATCTCCAGAATGGGTTTTTAATGCCTCGCTACAGAACCCAGACACTGGCTAATAGGGCCAGGAAAAAAAAACCCTGTGAGGCACCCATGAAGGGAAAAGTGCTCTGATTAATATTGCATTAAATTAAACCTGATTTTTCGAGACTGTTCCTGGCCTTCTTTTTTCTTTCCCCCAGTACTTGCCCTCTTTTCTTAGTCCAACCCTTTTCACTCTGCCTTTTAATACTCTCCCTGACGCTCTTTGTGATTGCAAGTCATTTCCAATTCGTTTTGGTATTGATCTTCCAGTAGAAATCAGTTTTGTAATTAGCTGCAAATTAGGCCCTCTACTGGAGGTGAAGCCTGTCCCACTGATTTATCACCTGCGTAATTCGCCCCGATTGGAGAGAAATTAAAATGAACTCAATTAGGCGACTGCTTTTGCTTTATGGGTCCGACTTGTAGTTCGGTGGGAGAAATTAATAGCCTCTTGTTGTTTAATAGTATAATGAAAGTAAATAAAGGTTATCCATTGTAATAAGCCCAGAGCTTTTAATAAGCGGTGGTTCCTGGCTCTCGTTTTGGCGGGGGGGGGGCTGGGGCTGGTCCCCAAATGCCTCTTAATTTTTGAAATGAGGATGGATGGCGAGCGTGGTTTCAATATGAGAAGGAATACATGCTTTCATACATCCACTTCATAAATACATGAAGTGGATGTATGAAAATGAAGGCAGCCTTTCAGACTGCGTCAGCCATTAAACATCAAGATGTGACACAGAATTGGAAAATAAACAACAAACGGCAAGAAGCAGCAGTTGAATAACACAGCAAAAATGGAGAAAAATCTAGGTATTGATTAATTTAATGTTGCCTTACTGTTATTCTCAATTATAGGGGATACAAGAAATGTGTTTCTCATCACAAAATCAATAATGTGTGGGAGTTTTTCTGGTGATCCCTCTAGTATTATACATTTCTGGTTGTAATCCAGTGTTTGGACATCTCGGACGTTTGTTTAATTAGCTTTCTGGGTATGGTTTGGGAAAAATTTTTTTTTTTAATGCTTGAATCAGCATCACATGCACATTGTGGGTGTATTTACTTGTATGTGAAGACAGAAGAGAGTGGTGAGTTGCAGTGGTACTAACCTGTTCAGGTTTGATGTGCTCCGATGTAGGGAAGACGTCAGGGTACGAGGGGCGTTCAAAGACCCGGTCCAGCGCTTCCAGCTGCTGCTGGGTGAAGGCATCTGCCCTAAGGTGTTTCCGTAAACTCTCCACACTACCCTGAGAATCACTGTTTGGGCCAGAACCATCTGAACCATCTACAAGAAGAAAGAGCAACAATCGAGATACTGACCCCGGAAAGCTGGCCTTTACTTCAAGCTATGCACTTTATATTCTCCTCATGTGTTTTCTGCACCACCTCTGTGGGGGATTTGAGGAGGACAGAAAGGGATGGAGTGCAGCTTTTTCCACTCCTTAATGGCTGTAGTGAGCCACTGGCTACATCACACAGACTTTTCCCCTGCCCCCCCCCCCCCCCCCATACACCATGATGGTGTAGTAACACCATCATGATCTGAAAGCCCTCTGGTAATTGACGGATTACCATCACTTGCAAATATATATATATATATATATATATCTATATATATATATATACACACACACAAGCATGTATAGTAATGAAGCTATAGTGCCTTTTTTTCTTCCTTCTTTCCTCCCCAAAACCCTCTCGGTGCTCGCTGATATCAAGAGCAGTTTTTTCTCTTTTTTTCTTTTAAAGCACAATTTCCCTTCCACAATCCAATACTGCTTTCATTCTCTGTGAGTGCGGTGGTTCTATTTGGAAACGGCGGCGGAGGACAAGAGGCTGAATAAAATCGTACAGTCTGGTTCAATCATCCTGCTCTCCAAACACAGGAATTTTCTCCTGACTCCTGACCTGATTACCCGACTGTTGGGAGAAGGATGCCTTTGCTTCTCCCGTTGTCACTTGCGCGTCGACGCTTTTAAAGCCTTTACAGACCATCCTACCATACCTCCCTCCCTTCCCCTTCTCCTCTGCAGTGGCTGTGTCTGTAGGTCTCCTCCCCTGATCCCAGAAAGCTTCAGCTCCCTTACAAATCTGTCATTCTAAATTTGCGGCAGATTATGTTCTCCCCTCAGCGGGAGAGTGGTGATATATGATATGCAAGGCCCCTATTGATTGCCTGATCTGGTGGCAAGAGGGAGCTGAAATGAACTTGAAATGAACATCATGCCTCAACTCATTGTGCGTATAATACTCTACTTAATCCCACATTTTTCTCTGCCATGGAATTCAATTGATCAATCATGTCTGTGTGATAGTACCATTTGGGAGGGTTATTGCCATTCTATTCTGCTGCTTGACCTTTTTTCACCGGCTGAGGCCAGAGGATGAACCCGACTCTCCCATGAAGGAGCTATAAAAGAGAGAGCGAGTGAGTGTGAGTGAGTGTGTGTGTGTGTGTGTGTGTGTGTGTGTGTGCACGTGCGGGTGTGTGCAGCCTGAAATTGTGCTGATAGCTGCGAAAATGTCAAGCAATAACTATCACGCGTTTGCTAACAATTTCTGGTTAACTATTTGTTCTATTTTTGCTGCGGTAATGAATACAGGACTTATTTACAAGCGAAGAACCGATCCGATATGTCGGATCGTTATCCGTGCAGATGTCGGCCATGATGTGACAGATTTCGCAACTTTGTCACTGTCGGTATACACTTTAAAGGCTTTTGCTATCGGTTCATTCAGTCGAAGCCGGTCACCAAATCAGTTTTTAGTGGCACAGTAATCCCTGTCCTTGTGGTAGAGGTAAGATAAACAGCTGAGGTATACATATTTCAAATACAGGAAAAAGAGATAACTGGCACTCTGTATCAGCAGATACTCTCAGTTGAGGTATCGGTACTGGAAAAAGTTGCATTGGTGCATCACAATAATTTATCCCTCGCAGTGTCATCTGTTATCTTGTTTAGCTTGGTTTTACCCAAGAATTTCCTCCTCCCTAAACTTAGGGTTCAAAAACATTTTCTCCACTGTATGAGAGTATGTCACTCTACAGGGAAAAACATGTAACTCCACATTTTCTGACTTTTTTGGTGCTGTTCCCAATTAAAATCACCATATCTGAAAAACACTTTGTCATCTAGCTTTAACATGTTTTTTTTTTTAAATCGACACGTGTGGGTGCAGTTGAATGTAAACGAATAGTTTGACACTTATTTGTTTTCTTGGCGAGAGTTTGATGAGAAGATCAATCCCATGGTTGTCTGTTAAACATTAAGCTACAGTCAGGCGATGATTAGCTTAGCTTAGCATAAAGGCTAGTAACAAGGCGAAACAGCTAGCCTGGCGCTGTGCAAAGGTAACAAAATCTTCCTTCCAGCACCTCTTAAGCTCACTTTCCCCCCCCCCACCACTGCTTCCAGTCTTTATGCTAAGCTCACCCTCTCCTAACTGTACTGTTCATATTTAATGCACATATGACTCATCCAACTGTTGGGAAGAATATGTTGAATTATTCCTTTAAGAGGTTATTACAACGGCTCTGATTTTGTTTTTCTGATCTGCTAATCATCTGAACTTGAGGATCTATTGAGGTGAATATTCAGCATGTTTTCTGCACAGCCTCAGTGAAGGCCCTCACTTTATCAAACGTGATCGTTCTCTTTGCTGCCATAGCAAATAGTCATTAATTACTTTCTATCAGCCGACCCGAGCCACAACACCTGATCAATACCCCCCCCACACTCTATATTTGTCATTCACCACTGTGGAATACACTTCCCACACACAAGACAAACCATCCTGGGTCAACCTACATACTCTTCCTCCCACTCAGACTGAGGACAGTCCCATGTGCCCTCCCAGCTACTGACTCCCATTTGACAAATCGGCAACGACTGTGTTTCCGTGATGAAGATGATTCTGGTGACATTTAGACTGTTTGTGTAGCCCGCAATTAAGCATCCTCAAGCGTAAATCAAGTTTATGCATCCTTAATCATTTTCGATACTGTCCTCCCAGGAAAACAACTATAGCATCGAAAACGCCTTTGGTTTCAGTTCAAGTGACGAAGCCCTCTAGCGGTCGTAGAAATGATGACTCTTGTCCGTCTGGAGCAACGGAGGAAGTAGTGGGATGTTATTATAGAGCTGCAAAGTTTCAACAACACCAGTCTGTTTCCTACCGTCAGTCAATGGTGGTGTCTTTCAAACATGAACTTGATCGTTCTTTACAGCTTTAACCATGTGGTTATTGTTGCAACAATGAATGACGATGAAGGTCCCCTAACAAGTCGTTTTTGAGCCTAAATGTTACAAAATCTGTTTTTTGTATTTGTCTTCTGAGTCGGCCTGAGGGGAAATTACAAACGATGTGTTTTGTCTTTAATTTGAAGGACCTCTTTGTCATTTTCTAACAAAACAATACTTTTTTTTCCAAAGTCAGAAGAATATTTCACATCAGAGATTTCTGTTTTGTCTGTGCTCAAACTAGCAAACAAATGTGACGCCATTGCACAAATCAGGATAAGATGGAGTTTTGGGGTCACAAATGATGAATTTTAAAATAAATATTTACAATTTGAAAAGGTTTTTTTAAAGTGCCTTTAAGTATCTTTAAGCAGTCATCGTCACTACAAGAAATCAGATCCATTATTTGGACATTTCCAAATCAGCCCATTATGCGGCAGTGATACTAATCTTTGACCACAGTGGCTTTGTTGGTGCGTTACACGCTTGTCCCGCTCTGTGGTCCTTTATTGATCATCGCTGGAGTTGAGCGTATTCATCTTGACATCGGTCTGTATTAACACTCTGGTAACGAGGGAGAAGCCTCCATCAGATCAGATAACCGGCTCTATAGAGCAGACTCCTCTCTGCGGGTTTGGCACCCAGAGGTCACGGCCCCTAGCAGGAGGCTTTAGCCAGGGACTCGGGATGAGTCTGAATGACTGCCCCGCCAAACAAAAACGGAACAAATTCCACGAATGAAGTGCAGGTCGAGTATGAATAGTAGTTTTAATAAGAAGTCTGACTCTAATAGAGGAAAAGAATGATTTCACAATCAAAGTTTTAAACTTTTTCCCCTGATGAAAATCATTTCTAAGTTCCTGTTGGAGGCACAAGGAGGTGAGCTGGCACCTTGAGGTCATGAAAGCACCCCCTCAGATAAATGAGCTTACCCCCCCCCTTCTCAGTCTGCTCCTTGTTTAAATAACATGTCAACATACATACACTCTCATTCCCTTAACACATTGTTATGTATTTCACAATAATACACCTCTATAATTTCCCGCCTGACTCAGTTCTCTGCTTAATTAGATTAAAACAAATTGGATGAACTCAGCTGCATTTAGTTTTGTCTAATTGAATGCTTTGATTATGTAAACATAAATGAAATACTGTGATATGTTTGTTCTGCATCACTAAAGATCTGTTATTAGTGTTTGATAGGAGCTCGACGATAAATCGTTGGAAAATCAATCGACAAAATAATTTGATAATCGATTAATCGAACGTTGCCCAAACAGTCTCTGTTTGCAGCTTCTCAAATGTGACAATTTGCTGCATTTTTCAGACGTATATCGTTGTAAATTAAAATGTTGGGGGGTTTGAGGCTGTTGATCAAACTAAACAAGGAAATTGAAAGACACCACTTTGGACTCTGGGGAAACTGCGACGGGCTTTTTTCATTATTTTCAAAGGCCAAACTGTGAATTAACATAATTAAGATATTCCTCATTTGCAGGCCTATGTCTGATATTCAGACGGGAGCATTTTGGAAGCCTTACTTACTGTCGGCCATCAATTCGCCGTGACGTTCCCGAGCTTTTAAAGGCTTCATTAATCTAATTTGGAGGTTGCACTTAGGTGCTGACATTTTGCTGCGCTCTGAGTTCCTGTGTTGATTCTCCCTCTCCCCCCATAACAGATGCTGATACACAGAGCAGGGTGTGACGGCGGGCCCGCTCCATCACTCATCTACATCCACACACATGGGTTCAGTCCTCATGACGCTCACAGATGAGAAATAATTAATTCAACAGCTACTGAAGCACAGAATCACATCCATTCTGACTGCCACTGGCTATTGTTGTTGGCTTTTGAAAGATATGATGATCATCTTATCATGAAATTTCTCTCTTGGCATTTCTCTCATAAATCAAGAAGAAAGCCCGACACACAGCAAGAAAGCGACCAGAATGGCTGAAATTAAGAATCATCTACAGGTCCGATTGTGCAAATTATGGGTCGGCTCTGAAAAGGACATGTGATGTGACTTTGAAAGACCGGACGCACTTCATGGACGCTACATGTTCTCAACAGACCTCCAAGCTGTCTGCCCGGGTCAATTCAGCTCACTCAAACGCTCACTGATAACAAGAAGGAGGACAAAAACATCCATGAAAGCAGATTTGTACTTAAACATCGGATACTGTATGACAGGTTTGTATTTGACCCTGAGAGCAGCAGCTTCTCCTTTGTCTTTTCTGGAGCCTACAGTGTCAGAAGCAGTGGGGGTGGGTGGAGGAGCTGGCATGTTAATCTGTGAGGTAATAGCTTTTCTCTGCAGAATTGCAAATTCTAATATATGTCACTTTGTAAAAGGTGCGGACAGCCGTGGTCACCAAAGACACCATCTCCAGGGGTCTCTCCCCCTCTCGCTCTCTCCCACTCTGTCCGTCCGCAACAATGGCTGCCAAGTGTAACATGCTACTTTTAATTTGCAATAACACGTGACAATAGCAGATTAATGGCTCTTATGACACCTGTGTCCCTGAAGCTCCTCTTGCTGAGACCCAGTGTACATAACGTGTGTCACACTACATTATCTCTACATCCCTCCTGTAATGGGGGACCTTTTTTTTTAAGGGCACTGCTGACTTGGAAACTTAGGAGCTGTCTGCCTGCTTGGCAGAGAGCCACAGCTACAGCCTAAAACAAATACTCTGGGCTACACAGCCAATCCATTTCAGCGGGACTTGTGTTGCACACCACCCTCCACTCTGCAACACTTCCCCTCCTCTCCTTCGCTCATTTTTGTTCATGTTTCCAACCCTTGATAATGACTGCTTGTGCCACAATCATCATGAGGCTTACCAAGTTAAATAGGGCTCAGGCAAGCTACTGTGCTGTGAGGAAATTTAATCCAAGCATTAACTGACTATAGACTTCTCTCTACCGAGGGAAGCAAAATACATCTGAATAGCAAACAAGGCAACACGTAAACACAGACCTCAGCTAAAAAAAAACACTGCTTTAACCCCACAATGACCATGAAACACCTTGAAAGCAGCATAAACCTGCTTCTTACTTCTATTTGTCTGATTTTACTGCCAGGATTATCAAAATATTAACACATGTAGATTCTTTGAAATGTTTTCCTTGCTTGTTAGAAAAAAAGACTAACCAGCACACTTACAGCATTTGATCATATCCAGACATGCATCTATAAAAGTGACTAAAAATGCATGGATGGAAGCAGAGAAAGATCCTTAAAACAGTTGATGGCATATTTTCTTTCAACAATAGATCTCATAAACACTCAAAATTGAAAGTTACTGGTTGTGAAAACCTAACATCCAAAATAATCTGTCCTAAATCACTACGGGCCTTTTTATGAGGACACTTCGGTCTACCAGCTGCAAAATCTTGGATTCAGTTGGTCTCCTAGTCTTTGGGGGGGGGGGTAAGGTGCACTTTAAGAGAAGACGGCAACAGAACAATAGTGTCTACAGGGTAACATCGTACGTAATATACTATTTTTACAAACTGTGGCTCGGGGCGAGACATTGCTTTTGCAACCGTGTGTGTGCAGCCAAGGCCCGGGGTTTATGTTTTGGAAAGATAAAGTATCCCATACCTCGTGGTTCCAGGTAGGCACCAGCTGGCCGTTTGAGAGAGTATATAAGAACCACAGCACCCTCCGTCACCCTCAGTGCAAGTCCTACCCTGATGCATACACGCACACACAAGCGCGCACACACGCACACGCAGAGCTTTCTTCTCTTTCATCGTAATGCTTGCCGAGCACCTAAATCACAGAAATGGCAGCACATCAGGGGAATCATTTGAGACTGAATAGCCATAGAAACATGGCGCTGTCACCTGGAAGACCTCCACAAAACAGGCCAGCTCTCCTCCTCACACACACACATACCTTATTCCTCCCCATGCCCTTTAATACCTCTTTGCCCTTCAGTAGCAATCTGCATAGAAATGTGTGCATTCTATCATTGAGGGGACTAGACATTACACCCTGGCTAATATGAGAGGTCCTCGAACGACTGAAAATGAACCCTTGAAAATACCAGACGTTTGCATTATGGCTCCGCGATTGCATCTCTTACAGGGGAAGACTTGATTATGTCATTTGCCATGTCCACGTCATGCTGGTTTTTATATCTTTGCCAGGAAATCTACCTCTGACAGGCCATTAGTCATCCCTCCCTCCCTGCACGCACATAAAACATCAATTCCACCCAATATCCCGCAAACCCCCGTGCTTCTCAACAAACGCCATAACAAAGGAGACGCTATGTAAACTGCTGCCGTGCTCTGATTAGCTCTCATTCCAGAGCACTGCAGAAATAAGGCACTCATTCCCCACCCTGTTTGAGATAACTGCCCCTTTTCAGCAGCCACATCATCCCTTCCGCACATGCATGCTTTGTAACATGAGTGCATCTGTTTAGCTATTCTCATCAGACTTATGTAGTGACATTAAGAAAGCCTATTGCTTACAGAACCAATAATCTATATCGCCTCAGGCCCCCTTATATCCACTAACCTACTACTTCAGCAGCAGAAGTGGAGCCACTTTTGTTAAAGGGAGAAAAAAAGAAAAGCCCTTCACAGAGCTACATCGGCTTTCTTGACTGACCTGGATGGTTGGCTACATCATCTTGACATGTAATTATCTAAAGCCCTTTAATCACTTCCATAAAGATTAATTGCAGGAGACAACAGCGGAGGTCGTGTCTTCAAATCAAAAGACTCCTTGGCAGATTGACACAGCGGTGTAACAGGGTTCAGGCTTAGGTGTTTTATAAGGGTCATCTACTGGAACTGAAGCAGGTTTTAATGCAGTAATTGCAAGTTCAGCAAAGTGGATTTTATAGCATGAAGCTGCACAGAATTCTATTCATTTTTTTTTTTTTGTAGGATTTTAGTTAGTTTCTGCATGCTAATCCTGAGCTGAGCTTAAGTGTTATTTTTCTCCTCAAGACAGAAGATTTATCTTACCTTCATCTCGTTTCCTCTTTTCACCATTGGATCGTGGAATACCCAGAATCCCATTGATGGAGTAGGATCCTGCAGGGTCGTTGGACGCGCTGGTTACAGGCGGAGATGTTGTGTTTGGTACTGGGTGGGGGGGAAAGAAGACAAAAATGAGCTTGAATTCCAAATGAAAAACATGCATGTATACAGTATGTGCTGTGATGCCATAAGATGCCCCTGCTGAGCTGCATTAGTACCTATAGTATGGCCTGGTGTCGACAGGGACGACCCATCGGGAGACGGATGGAAGGGCTGCTGGACTTTAGTTCGGATGATCCTGGGGAACAAAGGAAAGGTAGATGTCACTGCTGCTTTCCTGCGACCAACTCTCCTTCCTGGAGATTCCAAACTGGAGATATTGTGTGATTAAGATATCAGCCATTACTCCGACGCAAGAAGGGATCAGTGGTTCTACCTTTTTTAAAGGTGAGGTCTGGAGAAAAGTCTTCATTGCACTTTTGGTCTGAGTGATCTTGCAAACAAAGCATGAAATCACATCAATTCACCTCAATGATCAGCTTCACTGACTCTACCTGGCCCACACTAATCAGCTCTCTCCCCCCTCTCTCCATCTCTCTCTCTCTCTCTCTCTCTCCCCCACTGAGGAGGGAGTTTCACTGGGGCCGATCGCAGCCCTATAGTAGCCCTTTGCTTCCCAGATCAAACATCTCTGTAGAGCCAGCGGCCCCCATGTGCCAATGCGGATGAGGTAGTATTGATCGGGGCTTGGGGAGAAAAAGTTGGGGATTAGTCACACGGGCAAACAGATGCAAATAGAAAGCTATAAATTATATGTGACAGGAAAGCAATAGTTCCTTATTGCCTTGCACAAGCTTACGCCAGCATTAGATTCCTTTAATCTGAATGGCACTTGGGAAGAAAGGGAGCTGTCATGATAATTTGTAAACTTTAAAACTATTCATCATGTATGCCACGAGAGCTATTTTAGAGCACAAAGAGTAGGGATGAGGACTGTGGAGCCTTGTAGGGAGGATTTCTTTGCACAATTTAGATTTAGTTTCTTTGTTCTTATTTCCTTGTATCTCTTATTTCAGTGGAAGGAAAATATTCACCCGCTCAGATGATATCATTTTGAACCAAAATACTCCTTGTATATTTTCTACATATTATCCAGAAATGCATCCGATGATTTGGATATCGATGTAACTGTAGGTGCCAGGAGGCTTCAGAGGAAAAACAAATCCAACACTGTCACAAATAAGAAAAAAAGAAAAGAAAGAGAACTCCCCTTCGAGGCAAAGCTACCTAACAACAAGCCTTTTTCAGAGAACGCATATTGACGTTTTAATTTTTTTCACTTCTACCCATAACAGTTATTCGACCCCTTGACTTGTGTGTGCTACATAAATTCAAAGGCTTTATTTGGTATCCATGTTCTTGATATTGAATAAGCAATTTGGGAGAATGAATTAATGACCTGGCTGTTGCTGAAAATCCCCTGAAGAAATATTAAAATTGCTTTCCTTCTGAATCAATAATATCGAGCGCCATTGAGGGCCTTTTTTTTTTTTTTTTTAATGTCTACCAACAGGGTAGCGTTACTTGTTGGTTGTGGTAGCCCTGACTCGTAGTACAACACTATCTCTGTAGCATTTAATAATGCATGCAGCCGAAAGGTGTTTAAATTGAGCATCCTCTTTTGTCAACAGTCCTGAGGTCAGACTGTCTGCCACAGAAACCCACGACTGGCCCCAGTCAGAATCATCCAACTGGAAAAGACTTTGGCTCCAGTCCTTTGTTTTTCTCTCTGTATTGTCTTAACTGGGGAAACCCACAATTTAACACTTGGAGTAAAAACTTCTCGTCATTTATTTTAAGATGCTTTTTCGTGTGATTTCCAAACAACTTTTAGTAGCATCAGTTGATCCGGAGCAGTCTGCTGTAGTGATTGAAGCACTGATGACGTTTTCATTGATTTTTTTTTTTTTCTTCTTCTTTGCAGACTGCTCCTTTAGAAATTCATTGAAATTTATCGAAATATTAACCTCCGGATAAATCTAAACAAATGCGTCTCATTTGAGTGTGTGCTCCATTGTGTGTGTGTGTGTGTGTGTGTGTGTGTGTGTGTGTGTGTGTGTGTCACAGAGCAACACATTGAAATCTTCTGCTTAAAAAAAAAAGAGAAAATATCCAGCATTAAGCCGTAATAGAAATTCAAAGTAGCTCTCATATTTGGCTGATAGAATTACAGTTCTTTGTATTCAGAATTTAATTTCCCACATAAACAAAGACGCATAAGCCCCCTCCCCCTCCCACCACCACCACCACCACCACGGGTTCAAAATAGAAAGCTTTAATTGGAATTGAAAAAAAAAACTTTATAGAGCTCTTTTAATGATATTAATGTACATTTTGAATTTATCACATACATGTGTCTGAGCCTCCTTAAGTAGGGCTTTTTAAGCAGCCATGAAGCATGAAATGAATTTTCTTCAGCCTTTTCTCTATTTAAAAGATGTCTTGTGTGGAGCTGTCCATGCTCTCCCATCAGCTCATTAAAATGTAATGCTGATGCTGGCTCTATGGAACAGTGCCTCTTAACCAAAGTTCATCACCAGGGATCTCTGGTGGGGTGTGTGATGGAGGGGTGAGTGTGTCCTGGGTCCTCCTGTAGCTGCCACTATGGCGCTGTTTACAAATTCCTTTAAGAAAACTCAAGAATTGTAGCATAAATAGTGATTCTTGAGATGTTAAATATATTTTACCTCAATCAAAGCAAAATTGATGCTGCACTTTTATGCTTCATCATAATGTTACATCAATATTATTTACAGCAAGATACCACCTCCAGTTTTAATGCAAGGATTTAAATTATGAGCTTTATTCATAAACTGGAAGTGTTTTTTTTTTTTATTCTTGCTACAATATTATTTTTATTTTTATTTATCACTTTATTTTCACATGATGCAATATTTCACGAAGTTGAGGCCAATCTGTTTGCCCTTAATTCCGTTTTCTTCAAAATAAAATCCTGCAGAGAAGGCATTGGTGTTGCTCTCTCTAGCTCCAGCACATTAGATGTGCTAAAGAAAATTGGCCTGCTTTATAGTGCCACGGGATCTGGTCACCGAATATTGATCGGTTTCCATCTCGACAGATTCACTCAGTCCTGGATGTACTGCTGATTGTTGAGGGAGTTTGGTCTGAAAGATTGAATTGCACCTCTGAGACCGCAGGGCAGCCTCGTGCACGATCGGCGTGCCGGCCAGCACAAAGTTGGTCAAACAATATTCTGCTGTGGGTGATGCGTTTAGCACGGATACACTGTTATAACTGATTAATTCATTAAAGTGTTTCCATACAGCCAGGTGTTTAAACCATCTAAATTTATAAAAAGAAAAAAAAAACAGAAATGTTGCATGTATTTTTTTAGGTTGTATTTTAATTGTCGCGTCCTACCTGTTAATGGATGAGACGCTGGGAACAGTGTCGTTGTCGCAGACGCCCTCTGCCAGAAGTCTGTCTCTGATCTCCCAAGCAAACATGGTTGGGTTTTGTCTCTTGTAGTCTGCGATTTTGTCCACCACCTTTGGCGTGGCCACTTTAGGTTTAGACCCACCAATCACCCCTGGTTTGATGCTGCCAGTCTCGTAGTATCTGCAATAATAATAATGATAACATTCTCCAATGATAGCTTACCATTTTTGAGACGCAATTGGTACCTATGCCCTCCTAAGATAGGCGTATAATATCATTTTAAACGCATTGATAAACACATAAGCTGGAGACTTATTGATTCTGAGAACTACCTTTTTTTTTTCCAAAAGTCAACTTTTTCTTCAGCAAAACATCAAATTTGGTGGTTTTATGAGTTATATGCGTTTTCAAATGTCCATGGCGTCTCAAAACAAACACATATTTGCTTAAAAATGCAAGAAAAACGCATGAGCGCATGCATGCATGAATACACGGCAAGGATGTATGTCTGCAAAATTATGGAATCTTTTCAGTATAAACACCAAAATGGAGGAGAAGCCCACCTGAACTCTACTAACCTTCTAATGCAGAGATCTTCTATAAATTTAGGACGACTAAAATGTAATTGAATGCATTTAAGAATTAAAAAAACTGAGCTGAGTTTTGTAGGTTGAGCTCTCTCCTCCACCTCCACCACTTGTACATCGTGCATATTCATCCACCTCCCCGCACCCAGCAGAGTGTACCTGGCTGCAGGGCTTGTCCGGAGAGTGTTCACCCACCTGCCCAGGATCTTGCTGACGCAGCCGTGGCTGACCCGCAGCTGTCTGGAGATGTCGCAGGGCCGGACGCCCTGGTGGGCCAGCTCCACTATCCGCTGCCTCACGACGTCCGGGAGGGGTCTGCCGTTCACAAACACCCCGCCGAGCTGGTTCACACCCCCGTGCCCTACGTGGGATACAACAGCAGCACACACACAACCGTAACATTACATAAAGTCGTTACGGAGAGGAAGGCGCGTGGTGAGTTTGTTTTGTAATTATAGCAGGGGATAGATAACCAATCTAAACTGAAGGGCAGTGTCCTTTGTGGAGCAGGTGGATTTACGTGTATTTGTGGTATTACGAAGAAGCCTTGAAGGATGCACGAAATGCTGCACTTTTGTAAAACAGACATTATTATTATTTTTAATTATAATGGAATCAGAAAGTTGTTTGCAACCATCATGCAGGCGCCTTATTTTTCTGTTTTAAACGTTTTATAAATACAGCACAATGACCAAATATGAATACGTTGTCAGTCATCAGCCATTATTCTTAATTGTAAATAATTAATGGCTAAAAACTTGATTCGGATGTGTTGGTGATTTTAGAGTAGATGGTCAGTACTGTAAGCAAAGTGTCCATAATGAATGTACATGTTTACATTTTTTTGAATGAAGCAATTATGAACAATGCAGCTGAAAATGTGACCTGTCTGTACGTTTTTGTCCATGCGTGTTGGTATGAATTTGTACCTTCTTTTGTGTTGAAACAATTTACCTGACAATTTACCTTTTAAATTACGATTAATTATAATACTGTCTTTATAATATGTTTTTTAAAATAAAATAAAACACAATATTACATACAAGTGCTGAACACCTACTCAATCAGCATATTATTTTTTATCAGTCACACTGTTATTGTGCAGATTGTACAATTAGTTACATTAAATCCACCCTGCATTGACCCACAAATTCTATTTTTTAAATATGAATGTATTTGAGTCTCCAGTACTTTAAAGTTTCTAAAATACCTCATATTTTCTCAGCAGCTCCACGGCTCATGTTATGGCTATTACGTTACAAGCTCCCTCATTTTCCCAGCAGGTAATTTTAAATAATTGAACGAGTTTGATTACTCATATTACATATTATTTAGTAAACGAAGAGGTCATCAATTATTCACACACGTTCACCAAATTGCAGGTACTGTATGCGGACTTGTGTTGGACTCAAAGACCTCGCTGGGAATTATTTGAATAATTTGAATAATAGATGTGTAACTGACTTATCAGGACTACACACACACACACACACACATACACACTGCGCGGGAAGCTGGAGAGTGATACACGTGTAAATTACACTTGCCAACGCATGTTCTTTGTTTACTATGACAAGTTTAATTTCTGCACAGTGCTGCTCTGTGTACAGAAGTATTATTGTCATTTATTCTATTTTTAAAGATCTGTGCAGAATATTGGCTGACATTTCACATAGGACTATTTAATCCACTATTATCCTCGTGTTTCTCAGTTTAATATACTGCTTTTATGTTTCAAAATGCTGTTAGCGCATAAAAGTCCCGATGCTTTCTGCTGCAAGCCTTTGTAACATGCACAAATGACACATTCCTAATATTATTTCTATCCGCATAAGCGTGTCAAAGCTGCAGAGAAACTCGGGTTGTGCTACTTACGGTGCATCGCCGTGAAGGGGTCTGCTTTGCAGTGAATATCCATTGGATAGCAAAGGAAAGAGTGATAATCAACTGAAGTCGCCGTTTCGCCTTCCTGTCAAGGATGAAGATGTGAAGAAAAAAAGGTGGATCTACTCGATGGAGGGACTTAGTTTGCCCCTCCACCCCCGCTTCGATGACCGATCTGATGGCAACTTCTTCCCCCAAAAGTTGCCTTGTCTTTTTTCTTCAACAGTCCGGTCCGGGAGCGGAGGTCTGGCAGGTGCGCAGCATGACCGAAGGATTGTTTCAGTAACACGACCTGTGGTTAGTTTATCGGTATTGTTTTTCAAAAGCCTTGGGCGAGCAGAGGTAAGTCTCACGGCGTGCCGGCGAGCAGTTTCTTGAAAACGAAACGTTTTGAGGTCCAGCGTGCAGGGCCCGGTATCTCCTCAATCCTAGTGGCCTTGATTTCACGCGTCAAACCGGCGGAGGAAACATGCGCGCACACACATCGGGTTTCTCCTCAGCGCTGGATGCGTTAGGCTGGATCTTTGGGCTGGGAATGAAGCCTCTCTCTGTGTCTGTGGTTCTAAAAGCTGCAACCCCCCCCCCCCCTCTGCAGACCCCCCTTTTGCTTATATGGATGACTTGTCAGACAAAGGCAATAGATGCCAACACTTTGTGATTCGCTAACGCAAAAAAAAAAAAAGAAAAAAAAAATCGGGGGTCGAAATGAGGAGGTCTCTGGGTCTGACACTCCGGCAGGAAGGGGAGGGCGATAAATAAGGAATGGATTCGGAGTTAGAAATAACAGTTTATTAGACATTAAAACAGCTGTGAATTATATGCTCGTTTACTGGAAATTTTGAATCTATGAAAGAAGCTTTTTTTAATTTTTTTATTTGTGTTTCTTTCTGATCTTTTCCCCTTTATTGCACGGACTAACAGCCTGTCTCTGGGAATATACAGGATCTCTACGTGTCCTCACAATCCGGATTTAGCTCCATCCTTCTTATTAATCTTCTTTTTAATTTAATCTTTGAATTTAATTGTTTTGCTCATCTCTCTTTATTTCGCTCTGGAACCCAAGTGGGCCTAAAATAATGTGTTTGTGTCTAGCTTTATTTCTGGCTCTAATTCGATATGAAATGCTAAAAATGTTGGCTCATGTATGTTAAATGGAGACGTATTGACCTTTTTACATTCGGTTGATGGTGCGATGCAGTGGTCCAAACTGGAAGCAGTGGTGGTGGTTCGAGGTTGGAGGTGAAACTGATCTGCACGCAGCAGTGCAGCTTAGCTTCTGTAGATGGCGCTGTATAGTTTCTCAAATTTAAAGGCGCTGCCAAAAGTAGTCAAATAAAGTAAAACTTGGGCTGCACTTGAGTGCTTGTGATCAAACTGAGAAGACGAAATATTGTTCTGGAACAATAATCCATGAGCCATAGATCCATGTAAGGTGTTTCAAACAGCAGATAAGACTCGGTCTACACCTGCAGGATGAAGTCATCTGACTGGGACTTTTAACTAAACAAAGCATGATGGAGGCATGTGAAAGTCACGATGTTTCGTTTTGGATCCTGTTAATATCCGATTTTACACAAGCATTTGTAATATCTCAAATGACAAAATTCAGTTTTAATTCACCGTGTAAATCTAACTATAGACACAAAATTATAGAATACATTTAAATATCAATAAACTACATTTGTAAAGCAATTTTAACAGTAAAGTTAATGTTTTTTAAAGAGGAAGCAAAAAAGGAAGCAATATATCTTTTATTAAAAATACATTAAAATTAATAAATAATAAATTCATAAATAAATTCAAATCTGGATGAACATTTCAATCAAATAGTCATTGCATTGTTCTGCATACCTGAAGAGACAATGATGGTGATCATTTAAGAAATTGTATTATAATTATAAACTATAATCAAACCACAGTAATGGGCAACTAACATTTAAAAATAGAAATTCATAATTTCAGCTGACTGTCTAGATTTCCTCGCTATTAGCACGCGCTCATGCCACACATTTGACCATTTTATCGGGCTGTGGGTGTTGTTGGGGAGGGGGGCATCTCTTAGGGGCAGACGGCCACATCTCGCGCTCTGCCTCCTGGTCAGGTTAGGGGATGATTTCTCTTTTTGTTACTGTTTTTGGAGTGAGCTTCTGGTACAATATGTAGCACTATAGGCTGTAATTTCACACCCGGCTGCACATTTCCCTTAAAGCTACATTTTTTCTTCTCCCCCCCCCCCCCCCTCATAAGACCACCATCACCCCCTCCCTCAGTTTTCTCTCTGGTGCCCTCCTGCTCCCCACAATTTGAGGGGGGTGGGAAACAAAATGCTGAAATTGTTATTTTGTTGTTTTTAACCGCATATCCAAACGAATGCACACTTTTCACGTTTTTATTTTGTTTGGTTTGTGTTTGAGCAGCACGTGCGGTGTGGTGTGTTTGACTATGTGGTCAGGTGGGCCTTATAACCCCTCTTTTTAGGAAGGGGGCCGCTCCATTCAGCTGCTAACACGGGGTCAGAGACCCCGAAAAGCCATTTAAACAATGCAGCAATGCAGCTTTACCTTTAATAATTAAACATTGACGATCTACCTTTTATTCATCTTACCACTGAAGCCAGAAAACAGCCCAAACTTACCAGTTTTATAAAAAAACGAAATTTGTATAAATGATTGACTCATTGCCACTTTGACACACAACTGCTGTATTTAAGACGATTCCACTGCATGTCAAGAGTTTGGAAAATGTTTTTGGAGCCCGGCTGCACCCATTAGGAGAGGTGTAATGTATTGACAGAGAGCAATTTATCTTTTGCCCCGCTTCCTAATGGTCTGTGCAGAGAGGAGAGGAGAGATGGCATGGAGGAGGAGGAGGAGGAGGAGGAGGAGAGGGAAGAAGCAGCACCGAGGGTCCAGCTCCACCCGCCGAACATCAGATCACACTTCCAGGCAACTGTGGGGAGCATGACGGAGGCGTCTGTGTGGTGATGGTGGTAAAGAACTTTTATTTCTAGAGGTGGGAGAGGCTATAGGTCTCATTTATGGGTTGTTTTTTTTCCTCCTCCCGTTTAGACTCTGCCGGTTGTCTCGCGTTATTCCAACGTCACCAATCGATCTGAGTTTCCCTGCAGAGGGCAGCTGACACTACTGGTTGTAAGTTGAATATTAATCCTTTTCGATTGAAGGGAGGGGTCTTGTCAGTAGAGTTATTGTGATTTGTGGCGACATCAAGGCCGATTTTGGACTATTGGCACATTCGGTAAATCTGAGAATAATGTCAAAAATGTAAAGAATTCTGCATGCTGAAATAAATAATACATCTCAAGTCTTTTCAGGCTCTTTATTTGACTTAAATGTGTCAAAAAATATACATTAAATATCATCTATTGCTGCTAAAATGCATGCAAATGAGTAATAATTATATTATTTTTAGGTCTTTTATTTTTGAATGAAACAGGGGGAGTCAGAAGTCCATCTGCAGCCTCCACTTACATTGAATCCTGTAACACTAACAAACATATCTCTTGACACTGTTACTGTATATTGGATTTCCTCACTGTGTCCATGTGCTCCAGCAGCAAGCAGCTACAAATACTCCCGGGCTACAAATCTTTGCTGGCGTGAACAGATGGAGCATCAATTTGATTCCATCCTCGACACCGTGAAAGATTGATTTTGCACTTGCTTTTAATTTTGCCCATAATTAATTGGATCATTACAACTGTTTTCTATTGATCCCCTCGTTTAAATGTAAAATTAGAACGTGATCTATGTTTCTTATCATTAGTTTTATTTATTTATGTATATGTGTATTTGTTCTGTAGAGCTACAGCAAGAAAATGCTCTTTTAAAAAATATATTTTCTATTGTTTATCGTCAGTGATTTGAGCGTCTGTTTCCTGGACCATGCAGTAAAAACAGATTGTATGTTAATTTTGCAGAGTCATAAACTTATTATAACCTCAGAATGTGGCCTATTGATTTAAACACACACTCCTTGGTCCTTTTCAGCATCTCAGAACGAAACATCACTCTTCTGTATTTTTCTAGTTGCAGGCTATAATTAAATGTCCCTGTAATATATACAAATTCTGATTTTAGGATTATTAGGATCATTTTTGTATTCAACCGTTATTTCAGTTGTCAGGCTGCGATACATCTAAACATTTTTCAAACAAACATATTTTCTGTAAATGAATGAAATAACATTCATTTTGTCAAAACCGTGCTTTTGTCGACTTTAACTCCTCAGATAAATCCACACACACACATTTTCAACTTTCACGTAGTTCACGTGACAGGCAGAATTGATCGAAATTGAGATGATCGACCAGTTCATCCCACACAATAACAACACATGTATTTATTTATTTAATTTGAGTCGTATTATCTGAGCTCGTGAATGTGTTGGTGAGTAAACGCTGACATACATTTTTAATTAAAGGATGAATTCAAACAATATAAAACAAAAGTCACATTTTCGTTTCTATTAGTGGTTCGATTGCCAATTTGCTGCCACCAGATATTTAAAACCATTTTTGAAGTGCACGTATAAATAAACATGTCAGTTTAATGCAGCCAATTTAACCGTTTACTGTCTTTGATGGGGAATCATCTAAAAATTAAGAATAGACGTAAACGTCAATGCGGAAGTTTACAGTAGTCGGATGATAAAACACACACAGGAAGGACTTTGAGCTGCTCGCACTCTTTAAAACTGGTAACTCCAATTCAATTCTTCTGATATCTGCAGGTTGGCTGTTCAGCTGATGGTCTGTCCCGTCATTAGTCCTCAACACACACACGCACGCCTCCACGCACACACACGTGTACTGAGTGGTTTCAGTGATTTTTGTATTGTATTAAAGATCCAAAAGCAAGTGAGATCAGGTTACATTACTTTGATTAGAAAACACTTTGTTAAATTACTTTTCATACCCTGAGCACAAAAGCAGTCAGACAGTTGAGTTTCTGAGCTTTTCCATGCCTCAGGTACAGCAAATCATTAAGAAAAATTAACATCTCATTTGCATTTAAACGTGAAAGAAAGGAAAAATTTAAACAAAGTAACATTACATATTAATATTGTTATCATTGTTATTATTATCATGATTAAGAGCTGTTACATCTGTGCGAAAGCTATTTTGAGCATCATATTTCCTCTTTTTCTTTATAGCCAACAAAAAAAAAAAATCTAAATTACCATAAATATTCAGAATATTTCACACACGTTGTCTTTCCACCTCCCATGCTTTAACACACTAAGTTGGGGAATAATGCACCAAAGACCTAGAATACACACTTGCTCCTCATTCATTATGCAGATTTCCATGTAATTGTTAAATATGCCCTGCAGTGCTGGATTAAAAATAGGACTGTATCCTGTCATTTTCAAAAGTATTCTCCGTGTTGCATTTATTGTACTGGGAACAAGGGCCAAATCCCTTCTCTTCCCCCACCAAACTTTCCACATGAATAGTTAAATGTGTTCCCCTCTGGTTGGAACTCAACAAAGGCTGGAGAGGCGTTACAGTAAAACATTTT